GAGATTGGCCAAGGTTAGGTCAACACGGAGATTTCTTACCCAAATTATTTAAGTTGAAAATCTTATTAAGTGAATTTCTATATGCTGAAAGGTGGGGGGGGGGGGTCTTTGTGTTATTATGCCATTAAGCTCATTTATGCAATCCTTCACTGATGAAACATGACACTCATTATGATTTAAAAAGTCTTCAAACAAAGATGCAAGTTCTCTAAACAAGATGGTTTGTGTTTGTCTTCATGCCTCTCAGAAACTAACAAGAAAATTCATAAGAAACCTATGAGTGTATGGTTAAATTATCTAATTAACTTCACTGAACCCATGTGAGAAACAAGTTTAGAAAACAATGAAGACCCATGCATATGAGTACACTAAAAAACTTCAGAATAGAACGAACAAATGAATGACGTGTATGGTAAAATTTTCTTATCATCCAAACCCATGCATAGTACTTTGTAGAAGGACCATCATCCATGTTAAAGYTCTCTTGCAACAATCTTCATGTAGTAAAATTAATTAATGTGTTCAAACATGCAGATAAACAAGCATACACATGTAATGAGAGTAAAGACCATTCAACATGGGAATAAACATCAACAACTACATTTGGTAGTTGGGGTGATGGAAGCTGCAACAAAGGTCTCATCTGATGTGGAATTTCACCCTTCCTATATGTTGATCTTCCTCTATGGGATGATGATCCACCCCTCTAGAATGATGACCCACGTCTAGATGTTGATGATTTACCCCTTTGTGATGTACCAACAATCCTGCCCCAAGTCTGTCTTTATGCCCCAAATGATGATGATTGTGATAGGCCTATGTTTGATGCCTAACCACCACCCATTGCAATACCACCTCTCATACCATCATCATTCCTACTCTCAGAATTTCCTTGCTACCGGCCCTTGCACACAGTAAATTTGATGCCTAAGCTCGAAATCATACCCTGGCTTTATGTAGCAAACTTGACATTGGCCTTTCTATCCCAAGTCCTTCAACATGACCTCTATCTCAATGTATGACAATAAGTCACCGTCAACATTGTTGCACACAATTTAGAAATAACATCTTTATCTACCACATTAATTAGGAGCTCTCCATCCACCCAATTGTTAAGCCAGAATCTAGTTGAGTTACCATTTCCAATAACAACTCCAATTCCTCGTTTAATAAGATCTCTAGAAGAAAGGATGCCTTTCAAGGCTCAAGAATATCTTTTCTTGCTGCCCTACTTCTAGAAACTCTTGTTTCTTAAATATTTCTGTCTTACTACTTGGATCAAAAGATTATCCTCTTCATTCAAAATTCTCCAACCGAGCTTAGCCAAGCTTACTTGATTGGTCCACTAGAGATTTTTAAGACCCAAACCACCCCAATGTTTGGATGTACAAACTCTATTCCAGTTAACAAGATGAAAAGGATTTCTATCTTTATGACTTGTCCAGAGAAAATCTTTTTGTTTCCTGACCATTTCTTCTATGGCACTTTTGGGAATTTTAAAGGCCCTCATTATATATTGAGGAATCATACTAGCCGAAAACTTGAGGATGGTAACCTTTCCTGCAAGAGACAGAGTGTTTCTCTTCCATCCCGCAAGTCTTCTCTCAATCTTCTCATTTAAAAAAAAAATTAAAGTCTTCTTACAATACCTGTAAGAGAAGACGGGCCCCTAATCCTTTTCTGTGCCCATACAAGATTTGTTTTCTATATATTTCAACTAACATCTCTGCTATCCTCTTCTCTGATGGTGGCACTAGTTCTTCTAATGTCAGTCCTTATGTTCTAATCAGTTATCTTTTATAGAAGCTTATGGAAGACATTTTGGAAGTTCGGGGTTAGCAGATGAGACTGAACTTAATCTAGGTATCCAAATTGAAAAAAGGAGGGAAAGGCATTTTGACTGAAGTTCTGTTTTGAGCTTGAATTTTAACTGAGAACACTCCACAAGTGTTCCCAGCTATATTACACATGCATGATGTTTCTTCTCTAGGGCTTTAAAAAGTCAACTGGGCTCCAGGAGGATTATGTAGGCTCCAATGGTGGGGGTGGGGGAGGGGGGGATCTTCACTAGTAATGAACCATTAAGCCCAGTTTTGAAAAAAGAAAAAAAAAAAAGTGTTCTCTTAAGAATCCCAGTCTGGTTGGTTGCTTATTAGGTGCTTTCTGGGCCATATTATCTTCACTAGAAATGGGCCATTAAGCCCAGTTTTGGAAAAAAAAGTGTTCTCTTAAGAAGCCCAGTTTTGTTGCTTATTAGGAGCTTTTTGGGCCAGCATTAAAGCCCTCTTTGGGATGAAACTAGTTGATAGCCACAGACAATTAAAAACTTTTATGGGACCGGATGACTGCCATATCCCTAATATATTATGTTTGGCCATGGACAAGTAAGAAGAAGACAAAGAAACGACCTTTTGCAAATTGCAAGGTGCAGAAGAGTTGGAAGATATGAGGTTGAGTAGTAACAAATGATTTGAGAGGGACCATAAATATAACAATTGATTTGATATTCAAGAGATAGAACTGATTGTAGCCGGACCCATATAGTTGGGATAAGGCATGGATGATGATGATGATGACGACATGATATTGAAGATTGCAGAATGGGGGAACAATTGGGACAAGAATTAAGGTCAGTTAGATAACAGCTGATGTGGCTGAATTGAGTAAATTGTTGATTTGTCTTGTCTTTTAGTGAATAAACAATTAAATAATAAAATATTCGATAAGTATTTAGTGGATGGAACAATTAAACCATTGTCTTTTAGTGGAYATTTCAGTTGAGTTGCTTGGAAAGAAATATTAATAGAAACTCTTGATCAATTGAATTCCAAGTATAAGAAACATGCTACTTTAGTTCTGGAAAAAGAAAATAACATAAAAAGATTTTGAATTGGGAAAAAAAGTGATCATTAAAAAATAATGGTGGTGAAAAAATACAGCACATGCTTTAAGCTATTAGATTCATGGATTTTAAGCCCTTTTGGCTTCTCTATTACTTTTTGTACTTGATCTTGATGGATTTATGTTTTAACCTCTTGGATGTACTCATCTGGAGATTGTTCTCTACCATTTCATTAGCTTTATTTATTCATTTATTTATTTTCATACTGGTAATGGTGAACAACAATACAATTTAGAGGGATGTTCATCAATATATATGATTTTGTTTTTTTAAGAACAATAACAACTGCCACATTGGCAAAATCATATTGTTTTAGCTGATGTAATAGTTGTCTTTATTTTTGAAAACACACTAATATATATTGGCAAACAGCCCCTTATATTTTGCAAGAACAAAAATCGTGTAGATCAAGTGGTGTTTGCCGATATGTTTGATTTTTTAAGGCAAAATCATCCATTTTAGAGAATAGCCCCCAATAGGAAAGTTGCCCCCCTTAGAATTTTGATTCCCCTTCTTCAATATCTCAATCAATTTTCTAAGATTTTCGGTTTTCCAATTAGCATTTCTTTTTCATGCCAAAAAACAAAAGGGAAAACCTTAAGGCTGTATTAGGTTTGAAACAAAAGGTAGGGAAGCCTTTTCTTTCAAACCAAACACAGCCTGACTCGAGATTGGAAATGTAGAAGGGGAAATGGAAAACGATGAGAAGCCATAGGAAACGTTTTTAGCCCATTATGTATCCCAGTTGTCTATCTATCCTGGAGCAATTTTCAAAATTTGTGCCTCCAAAGCCTTGAACCTATCAAAAGCCCAAATGTATAGCATTCAACATGGCCTGGCCTATCAAATCAAATTACAACCCCTAATTATAAATAAAGAACTTCAACATGGTCTCCCCATACACCATCATGAACATTCATATTCTTCACTCTTCCCTTTATTCAATTCATGGGTAAAATTCAGCCGAGGAAAACCTGGCCATGAGCCCAAATACGCCCCTCTCTATGTGCATTTCTTGTATTAAATAGCAAATAGGAACATACACTAATCAAGCTTAATTGCTTTATTAATTTGGGATCTTGTAATTTATCTTTAGTTTAATAGGGTTTGCCACATTCACTAAATGATAGACCAGAAAAACAATAGCTAGTTAAACAATGATAGACCAGAGTCATTTTGTTATTATATGCCAGTAGCAGGGATGTTTTAGTAATTCAGAGACTCTTTTTAATTGCACTCCACCACAGCCTTGTCCTTGCATTCTGGAATCTGTTATCCTTACTTGTTTGGACTTTGGACAGTGGCAAATCAGGTCCACAGTCTAGTAAATTTTCAGAAGTCTTGATGGAATCCTCTCCTTAATTAGGAGAACCAACATGGGTTGTCCTCCTTGGACTAAAAACAATTGGAATGAGACTCACAGTACTCTTGTCTCCTGGGTAGATTATAGATAGAGTAGAAGAAAAATCTCAGCCAGGAGGACCTCTAGCCATTGCTAAGGGAGATAAAAGGAGATTCCAATTCAATGGCTTCCATTGCCTGGGACCCACAACCCCCCAAGTATATATGAATGAAGTAAAGTGATCTCCTATCAGTTACCTCAACTGAAAATTTATTAAACCAACAGTTGTAGCCTGAGAGGACAAATTAACCCCCTTTGTCCCCCTGAGGAGACTCCATTACAAACTCTTCTTCTTTAATTTTAACCAGAGTGCCTCTAGGCCCTCGAATGGGGCTGTTCAAACCAAAAGAAGGTAAAAATTTTTAATTTGGTCGAACAAATGGTGGGGTATATCAAACAATCAAACCCATACAAACTCCAAATTACAAAAGGACAAATGGGACCCATCCTCGTGCACTGCAATGCATTGCAGCCTAATACAACAAAGATCTCCTGACAAGTCAACCCACTGCATAAGAGTACATACGCGTTGACTTTCAACTCAGTAGCTTGCAAAACATTTTAATTCACACAAGCGCCATTCAATGCACAGAACCTGTCTCCCTCCCCATCTCTTCTTCAACCAAAAAATAAACTGGTCCACTGCTCCCACACAATTTGGATAGATCGATTCGATGGATAGAAACAACAGATGTCTTCCTCAAACAAAACGTCCAAATAGTTAAGTAAAGCTTCTATTGTTTCACAAGTATTGAAGTCACTAAGAAAACAAGCTCCCCCCAGTTCCCCCCACAAACCCAGATCATGAAAATCCAAGCCCCCAACAAAGCAAACTATTAAAAGAAAAAATAGGATCAATAGAAAACACAGACCCATCTTCTTTAATTCACAAGATTACATTACATATTATATGGTGGTGGTAGTAGTAGTACTTGCATGAATGAAATTGAATATCTGCTGAACTGAGCTCGCAATGTCCTCGGCCGTGAACCTTGACTCACTTGCAACCTGATGAAGATATGTAAAAACCATGAAACCATGATCAATTTGAGCATCTATCTGAAGCTGTAATACTTTCAAGGAAGAAGAAAGAAAAGAAGTTGGTTAATTACCTTGACATTGAAGGAATACAAAACAGTTTGTTCAATGGTGGTAATGTTGGTATGGAGGATATTGAGCTGCAAATCTTCGAGGGCGGCAATTGTTTTGAGGAGCTGACCGGGTCTTCTTCGAGAGAGTATCTTAATCATGGCGTCGAATCCCAGGAGCTTCACTTCGACGTCGGCTAAGCACGTTTTGTTTTCTGCTGTTTCTTCCCGGAGTCCAGCTGCTTCGAATTCAGCAAGCTTCATCTGGTCATTGGGGAAGGCCGGCAGAGGAGGAAAGAATGGTGGCTGAGGCTGCTGGATTGCTAGCGAAGGTGTGTCATCCACAGGTCGTGGAGGTTCAGTACCATTCCCATACAGTCTTCTGCGCTTCTGAGATTCTAAGCATTGAAGAAGCTGCTCCAATTCTCTTACGAACTCAATGGCTCCACCTATAATGGAGGCTTGATCTCCCTGTAAATGTTCGCATAAACAAATGCTTGCACCATGAGCTTGTGGATTGCTTCAACCTCAAGTCTCTCAACTTTCAGAAAAGATATATATATATATATATATATATATATATATATATTACTTTGTTGGATCTAACATGATAAACTGTAAATCAAATTTGGAGTTGCAGGTTCTAAAAACCAAGATATCTTGTTCTAAGTGCGATCAGATCAATTGTTCTTCTTAACAAAAGTGCCAAAATTTGAATGCACAGAAAAGCAGAAATAATGTATATGTGCAGTGCAAGTATATATATATACCCTTTGAACATATGAACTCGGCATGAGAGACCTGAGCACTCGTAGGTGCTCGTTCATTTGCTTTCTTCGGTTACGTTCGACGGCTATGTGAGTCATACGTTGGCTCTCGACCTCCTCGCTCGTCTTCACCGTCCTCGGCCTCTTGCGTCGGTTCTTTGCTTCAGCTCCAGGGCTTTTCGTCTGACTATTATTTCCTACGAGAATATGGAGCTGCACCGAGTTGTTCTCAGACACACGGCCTTCTTCCTCTACTTCCTCTTCCTGATCAGGCGCCATTGTTAACTTACTTTCTGCTACATTCCCGATTGCTTTGAATTTTTCTTCCTCATTTGCTGTCGGTGGAGGATTAATAAAAAGGCTTTGATCCTGCAGTTTGTCATTCAACACTGGAAACTTGAGAAAATAACCTGGGTCGATCCCGTTTTCCTCATCGGATAGCTTGGCCTGGTTCACGGCCAATTTGGGTCCAAAGTCGGCGAATTGCATAACTTCGGCGAAGCTCAATCTATCGAGAGACGTGGCACTGCAGAAGCCAGAAGACATTTGGGGAGGTGGAGGATTGTTCAGCATGTAATCCACCATTCCGGTATTGTTGTCGCCGGAGTTCTGATCACCAAACCGTTGCTTCAGTGGATGGTGATAGTGGTCTAGAGGGTAATCTAGACCTGTGAAGCCCGTCGGCAGACCCGCCTGCAACAATTGAGGTTTCAAGTAAAACATGGCCATGAATCAGAAGAAAAAAAAAACGCGAGATGACTGAGAGAGTAAGCCTACCGAGTAGCTTTCTTCCTTGTCCATTATTTTATATATAGGAGAAGTGAGACGAGATGACAAGATCGAACCAGGAAAACCCAACTGGAGTCAATCTCAACCAATGTAAGAACAGAAACTTTCCTCCAAGTTACCCAACTTGGGTCCCCACCAGAGAGAAGGTGACAAAAGAGTCAATTTACATCCAGTAAGTCGACATATTTCGAATCAGACAACTTAAGGAATAGATTTTCTTCAGTTGAAGCAATGAATACTGAACATCTGAGGACGGTGAAAACTAAGTAGAAGGCTGAAATGGCTTCTCTCAATTGTTTGAGAAGAAAAACAACATAGAAAATTAATTGGGTTCTGCTTTTGAAGAGGGAGAAGTACTTGCAGAAGCTTGGCCACCGCCATGCATATTCAGAGTTCAGAATTCAGATTTGATATGGGGATATGGCGAAATTATCACCTTAGAGAGAGAGAGAGAGAGAGAGAGAGAGAGAGAAGAGCCTGTTAAATTTATTGAGGTGGAGATTAAATTTCACCACCTTTTATTTATATTTATCACAGACCAACAACGCTCTTCTTCATCTCTGACCCTCGCCTCCTCCCTCCCTTATCTCATGACACCCATTTAATCAGACGACGACGATTTCAAACGTCTCAGGAACCAGGAACGTAATGATATGGTGTATAAACATTAATAGACCAAAAGTGATCCATTATCAGCAGATTCTGATCAGATGGTTGGGATGATTCCTAGATGGATGCACATGCGGTATCCCGTCGATCAAACGATGTACGTCAAAGAATCGATTGGACCCGGTTTAGAACAGTGATCGTGAATAGTGTCTTTTAGCGCGTTGAATTCCTAGGATGCACCCAGGCGTTCCCGAGGTGGGCTGATGAAAAAAAAAAACAGAAAAGTTCGGTCCTTGGAGGACCTATAGTGAATATGGGGCCCGCACTCCATTGTCTCTCACATGCTTTGTTTGGGGCTTAACCCCTTCTCATCAGATGCTACACGTGGAGGGCTAATGTCCCGACAACTGTTTAAATGGTGTCCACACTCCCACATTATTAGGCTCCTACCACGACCTGTATGAAAAGAGTTTTGATCAATTAAAACCCATCCATAAATTGATAAATGACACCTCGTTTATGATTCCAATTTAATGGTTAATTGTTTTGCGGATATCATATCTTTTTCATATGATAGGCGAAATTAATATCTGCTCGCACATGTTTTTTTTTTTTTTTTAAAAAATATGATAGTTAAGGTTATGTTAAAAGTGCGCCACGTGGCACTATTATTTACGAGTATATTTTTTTTCGTCTTTTGCGTGGAAGGAAAGACACATAACCAAACATAACTTTTTGGCTCTACATAGTAAGTACTTCGGCTTTTCTTACGTGGATGACAGTCACGTCTCTTGTGCTGCCAAGGATTGTAGCGTAGCAGGGGTGATATGGGAACTTTCAAGTTGATTAGGGTAAGGGTTCCACCCATCAATACTGTTACCGTAAAGGATGGGCCGAGGGCAGGTAAATCTGCTTCCTTATAGGAGGCTGATGTATCCAATTTGAGAGCAAGAGATTATACGTTATAGGCCCCAAGTGTTCTCTCGAGGATGGAGGCTCCGACGGTCAAGTTAAGCGTGTATGAGAGATTTGACGAGGTCTGAGGTGAGAGCTTAAGTGAGACCACTCTAGAGCAAGAGAGCTAAAGAGTAGGAGTGAACAAGATGGTTTACTTCGAGAGGGGCACCCCTATTTATACTTGACCTTGCCTTGGGAGTGGTTGGAGGTGGTTGGCAATGGGTGCCAGGATTGCATCCAATCAATGTCACTGGGAGGTGCTAGAAGGTGCGTCAAAGGCCTTGAGTTGGTTAAAGAGGGTGCCATTCAGAAGTGCGGAGGCGTTAGCCTCGGTTGCTAGGAGCTCCCCTTGGTTGTCCAGTGGCAGTTGCCTTGTAGTTGACACCGCCCCTTAGGAGGATCATGGAGGGCCAAGGGTGTGGAGTCATCGCTTGCACGGGCATAAGGCATCCGTGTTCACCAATCGTGCCCTTCACGAGTGCCATTGTGGATCCGTACGCCGGGCGGGCGTTGGCATCGACTGGTCGTGATTGTACAAGAGACAGGTGGTCGAGTCGCCCGGGTTGGGTCACTTCAAACTTGGAGTTGGAGGGCGAACCGGCTAACTTGCTCGATGTTGTTTCGTATTCCTAAGGTCGACTACATGTGTCATGTGTTGGTTCGGGYTGTCAAGTCGGTTGCTTCGCGGCCATTGGATCGAAGCAATCTGAGCTGTTTGTTCTTCTTTAAATAGGGTCATTGGTTGAGGCGGTCGCTACCTTTTGCTTGCTTCCGCTCAAATCTCCAGAGACCTCGGCCACCTTGTAGTTGAACCCTTAGCTTTCTTCTTTAACCTCAACTACTAGGTAAAGGACTTCTCCCTTGACCATGTCATACTCTGATTCTGGTCCAAATGCTATGAGCTTCCTGACCTTTCAAGCGCTAGCTCGTCCTATTCCAAACTCGTCCAATAGTAATGAGAGTTTTAGTAGTGGGTCCGAGGGCTCACCTCCTAGCCCCGAGGTCCAGGTACTGAGGGAGAGAACTACTCCTGGAGGCACTGAGTGCGAACGGTGGGGTGGTAAATCTCCCGATGAAAGTAATAGTTCTATGAGGCCGAAGGGCAGCACGATTGCAAATGCCTTAGCGCCACCTGAAGTGGTGGAGGGCGATGACATCGAAGACCCAAGCCTTGAGGACATAGCTGAGGCCGAAGCTCGAGGCATCACACTGATGCACTATCCGCACTACGACCTGGATAGCAAACTTAGCATAGAGCAAGTGAGGTTGCTTGTTGAGTTGTACCATATTCCCGGGGGCTATAGGCTTAGAGTCCCCGATGTAGGCGATAGACCCTGGTGTCTGGCCGAGGGGGAGGTGTCCGTATACGAGCATTACCTCCACTTCGTCCTCCGATTCCCCATACCTCCTCTCGTCTCCAAGCTCTTGAACTTCTACAACATCTCCCTCAATTAGCTTGCCTCCAACGTTGTTAGGACTATCATTGCCATGTCGGTGATGGCTTGGCTCCGAGGTGTCTACGTGATTGTGAACATATTTCAGTGCCTTTTCATCTTGAGGAAGCACCTTGGTGGGAAAGGTCTTTTCTACTTCTAGGGCTAACATGGTAGAGTGGTGGACAACCCGTCGTCTGTCCACAACTGGAAGAAGTACTCTTTCGCATCTTGTTCGGAGGGTTGGCCATTTAGGTTTGACTGGGGGAAGCCGGATATCATGGCCAAGAGGATACAACCGTATTTTAAGGATGAGGAGGCCAATGTGATGACCCGGATTCGACTGAAGGGGACGATTCGTCCGAGCCCTTGGCGTCAGAGGAAGCCTTTGTGTGGGCTGGCCTCAACCTTTCTCACCTCAGTAGGGGGACTCTTGCTGTTGGCTGCACACATCATCTTCATCCCTTCTTTTGCACTACATATTGACATGCTTCGCGGTGTTTTGCAGAGATGCAGGGCAACATCAAAGACAAGATAATGCAGATGGCGAAGTCCAAGAAGGGGACTTCGGGCATTGGTCTATTGAGGAAGCAGACGCCAAGACAAGTTGTTACGAGAGAAATGCCATGGGCGAAGGCTCCCGTCGAGGCTAAGAGGAGAAAGGGGCCTACTAAAGCCGAGAGGGGGAGGAAGCCCATCGAGGCTAAAAGAAGGAAGGAGCCCGCCCCCAAGAGACCTGTTGAGCCCCTCCAACCTTTTAGGGGAAAAATACTAGCAAAGAAAGAGCCCGCCCCCAAGAGACCATCGCGATGAAATGCCATTGATGGTGCGATGTATCTTCCGCTCTCATTGGAGCATTTGAGAGGGTGATACCTTGAGTACCCTAGAGGTTGGCTAGGCCCTGTTGATTAGGATGCTCCCAGCTTGGGACAGGCAATCCTGGACCCAAGTGAGCATTTAGGGTGTCTGAGACACCCTTCTAGATCAATTGGCCGAGGTAGTTTACTTCTTCAAACACTTAGCCGAATTTCTTCTTTTTCTTACTTTTCTTTAGTTGATGGCTAGGTCTTCGTTGGAGGCGTTTTTGACTGTTGTTAGCCTCTATGAAAAGGTTGAGGTCCTCTTGCAACAATTCAGGACCTCACAGGAGGAGAAGGAAAAGTTAGAGCGGTAACTGGTCGAGGCTGAGAAGGGCCGAGAGGCAGCCACCAATGCGGCGCATGAGGAGCGTAGCCACCGAAAGGATTTGGAGGCCGATGTCACGACCGAGAAGGAGTAGCTACGGGCTGCTCGGGCTTCTTTGAGTGAGGTAGAGGAGAAGCAAAAAGAGGCTGAAGGGGGCCGAGGAGAGGCTGCGAGAGGACGAAGAGAGACTTGAGGTGGCTGAGAAAAGAGCTGAGGAGGCCTCGGCCCAAGCTATCAAAGAATGGAAGACCATCGTGGCCTATGCAACTAAAATGGTTGAATTCAGTGTCACCTCTTGGAGGACATCAAAGATACAAAGTCCCAACGGTTGGCTCTATTGCCTGACCTTGACGTCAGTTAATTAGGAGTCCAACCCGATCCGTTGGTGCCGATGGCAAAAGGGATGATGCCTGTCAACGAAGTGCAACCTTCCGAGGGCATAGCCGTCGATGAGCTGCCTGCATAGACCGAGGTGGTCGAGGAGAACATGGAATCCGAAGCCTGAGAAGCTTTGAAGTCTCCTTTCTTCTTTTTGCTTAGTTATTTTTTGTAAGGGGCTCGACCTCCCCCATCTGAGGTCATTTTTTCTAAAGTTCAAAGTGAGAAATCAATGAACGAATGAAACAAAGTTTTTGTCTAACTTGTACCTTTTTCTTCTTCTTTCTTTTTGTCGTACTAGGGACTGATGCCCCTCTCCGAGGGGTCATAGTAGAAAAAATCTGTTGCTCTTTACTTAGCTATTCACTTTGGAATTTACGCTAAGTGGGTTAGGCCGAGGTTGAGCTCTGTCATTGATGTCTCGAGGACCCTTTCTTAGCAAGGAGGAAAGGGAGGCGAATGCCTTAGCTCTCTTGGTTAGCTCTCTTGGCTTGTTCCTTATCCCCATCAAGGTAGTTAGGCCGAGGCCGAGCTCTACTGCCGAGGACTTGAGGCCCCTTTCCAAAGTGAGAAGTGAAGGGAGGCGAATGCCTTAGCCCGCTTGGCCTAACTTTCCTTAGGGATTTAGTGTATGGACTCACGTGCAGCCGAGGCTTTGCAAATGGTGCCAGGCCGAGGTCACCGGATGTTTCCTGCCTTAACGATATAGTTTGTCCGTTTTAGTGTGTTTTTTCATTAGGTAGTGGGTTCACATCGCAGGCCGATACCATGGCCGAGGTCCCCAAGTGTATAACCTTGGTGA